TCACCCTCTATTGGCCTCTTTGGGCATTGCATGCATGGATACACTTTGATGCAGGCAAAACACTCATACATATCAAATAAAAATAAGTAAATCAAAGCCGGGCGTGGTAGTGCATGCCTTTAATCCTAGCACTTGGGAGGCAGAGGCAGGCAGATCTCTGTGAGTTCAAGGCCAGCCTGGTCTACATAGTGAGTTCCAGGGCAGCTGGAGCTACAGGGAGACCCTGTCTCAAAAAGACCAAAAATATATTAAAAAAAAAAATTAAAATGGCACTTAATTGACTACTTAAATTCAAAGTATATTAATATTCATAAGTGGATATTTGTGTGTGTAGCTGTGCATACATGTTCACATGCCCAACTGTTCATGTAGAGGACAGAGGTCAACACTGGGTGTCTTTCTCAATTGTTCTCTACTTTATCATTAATTTATCTGTATACAGGGGTGCGTGTGTGCCGTAACGTATAAGTATGGAGGTCTGAAGACAACTTCTACCACTTGGGTCCCAGGTAACAAACTCAGGTCATCAGCCTTGGTAGCAAGAGCCTTTGCCCGCTGAGCCACCTGGCCAGCTTCTCTATTTTAGTTTTTGAGACAAAGTGTCTCACTGAATCTGGTGCTTGCCAATTTGGCTAGACTGGCTGGCCAGCCAATCTCAGGGATCCTCCTGTCTCTTCCTCCCCAGTGCTGGGAACATAGGCACGGTGCTGTGCTCTTCTTTTACATGGGTGCTGGGGATACAAATTTAGGTCTTAATGCTTGTCCCAAGTGAACCATCTCTGCAACCCTACAAATAGATATTTTTAATGAGTATCCACAAGTAGATTGCTCAAACTTATTGAAACCATTTCAACTGAAATGCTTAATGTTTATCACTCAAAGCTACATGTGATAAAAATTTTTTGAATAACTGAACAGAGTGCAATAGAAAAAGGTCCATTTGCCGGCATGGTGGCGCACGCCTTTAATCCCAGCACTTAGGAGGCAGTGGCAGGCAGATCTCTGTGAGTTTGAGGCCAGGCTGGTCTACATAGTGAGTTCCAGGACAGCTTGAGCTACATGGAGACCCTGTATCAAAACAAAACAAAATAAAACAAAACAAAACATCTTGTAAAAAGAAAATTTAAAATATATTCTTTAAAAAAATAAAATGTCTTCTCATTGAGTGCCTTTCTGTCAACTGGTGTCAGATTATGGATTCACATGAGAAGAAGAGAGTTCAGAGAACTAGCATTACCTTACCTTCTGGTTTTACAGAGGTATGTTTGGCTCTTGTGTGAGACATTCCAAGATTAAAAAAAAAAAATGTTATGGAGATTTAAAAAAAAAAAGGTCCATTCATTTATACACATTTTACTGATCATCACCTCTGGAGGATGGCATTACTGGTAACTTCTGATTTTTCTTTGAATTTTTATTGGATTTTTAAAAATAATGTCATGGGGCTGGAGAGATGGCTCAGCGGTTAAGAGCATTGACTGGGTTCAACTCCTAGTACCCACATGGCAGTGATATACCATCCTTAACTCCAGTTCCAGGGGAATCCAAAGCCCTCTTCTGACCTCTGTGGCATTGCATGACACGGGTGCACTCACATACATGCAGGCAACACACTCATACACATAAAATAAAAATAATAAAATATTTTTAATAAAATGAGTCACTGAAGTTTTGTTTTTGTTTTTAAACCAGAAACAAATGGGTTATTTCTACTTAGGGACAGCGGAGTAAATGAATACTATTTCCATGGTAATATGGACTTGAAGTTCTGGCCAAGAGGAGTGACAGACTTGGTTTACCCTTCTGCCTAAAAAAGAAGTGAAACTGAAAAAAAATGAATAAGTTACTGACATTAGGCAATGAAGACAGACAAGTTCTGAGTTTGTCCCTACTCACTGCCTTGACAGGGGTGTGACGCGGTACAGAGGGAAGACCCACGCAGAGTCCAGTGAGCTCAATGAGTTGAGGAGACAGAGCTGAGAGTCCAGGAAGACCAAGGCAGTAAGAAACTGCAGGACAGATTCCCAAAGATCAGAGCTGCAGAGAGAGAGAACACCAGGTCCTCCTTGAGAATTTAGTGGCTCGGCATATGATCCACATGTATGTTAAAAGGACTGGAAGGGATTAGGTTGGACACACGTGCAAGGTTGGGAGTAGTGTCTGTGTCTACTAACCATCCTTGGAAACTTCAGTTTACAGAGTGTTGGGCAGAGAACTCAGAAGGAGTTTGCATTACTTAGAGTAAATCTCACCCTGGTCCCACCTATCAGATATTAAAAGCAAGACCCAAAAGAGTCAAACTGCTTCCACCCACCTAACTGCATCTTCTCAAGGAAGTTCAGTGACCAGCAAGCATAAGAAAATGTAGACACTGGGCATGATTGCCCAGGTCCAAAAGAAAAAAATATATAAAATGGCCTAAATATCTCAAATAAAGGGCAAAGACTATCAGAATTTTTTATTCAAGCAGGATCTCATATGTAGCCTAGGCTGAGCTTGAACTCTCAGCAATCCTCCTGCCTCAGCCTTCTAGGTACTAGACCTACAGGTATGCATCACCATGTCTGGTCAGATTGGATTTTTAAAAAATTAAGACCTCCAGGTTCATGTCCCAGCACCACATGGCAGCTAACAACTGTCAGTAACTCCAGTTCCAGGGTATCTGATGCCCTCTTCTGACCTTTGTGGGCATTGCATGACATGGGTGCACTTACATATATGTAGGCAATACACTCATACACATAAAATTAAAATAATAAAATATTTTTTAAAAATTAAGACCTTCAAAACTCTAAAGTATTCTTCCTATAAGAAACACACTTCAAGTATATATAAAGCAGAATTATTTTTTCTTTTTAATCATCTCTAGCAGACTACAAGTATGTTTCTGGGATTGAGGTAATTGACCCCATCTCTTTCATCTCTTTCTTTATGTCTGCTAGGGCCCTAGCTAATTCATTCTCTCTCTCTCTCTCTCTCTCTCTCTCTCTCTCTCTCTCTCTCTCTCCTCCTGTTAAGATAGAAAAGCAACCTGGCATAGAGTAGGCTTAGAAGCCAGTAGGCACACATGGTGACCTGAATATGGCTAGTCTGCTTGCCTATGCAGTGAGAAGCCTCAGTTTGTATAGATCTCAACAGGTCCTGAATCCATCCCTCCCTTTAGTTCCTCACCCAAAGATTTAGAGGCTCCCATGGTGAACCAAGGATTATGCTTCAAAATGTGATTATATCCCAGAAAACCCACATTAGAACGCATGCCTTGCTCAACCCCTCCCTTTCTCATGAGCTTAACATTGAAACAACCACCAAATCTAGTTGGCTCTGTCTGCTAAATACATTTTGAACCTCTTAAAATTTATTTATTATTTATTTATTTATTGAGACAGGGTGTTGCTAGATAGTCCAGGCTGACCAGAAATTCATTATGCAGACCACACAGCAGACTGGCCTCAAACTTGTGATCCTCTTGCTTTTGCCTCCCAAGCGCTGGGATTACAGGTGCGTACCACCACATTTGGCTTAAACCTTTTCTTGATGCAAGCTTTTAATCAACTTTTATTAATTACTGATTATCTGGCTACTGAATTAGCTTCCTAGATGTTATTATCCACCTTACTGAATTCCAGAGTGATATACTTTGAAAGTTTTGCCCGTTAAGGCTCCCAAGGATCCCAGGTACTTTTAAGATACAGCCCAAACTCCTTACATTTGAGGGTTGGGGGGTGGGACTAGGTGGGAAAGCAAGGTCTTAAATCTAGGCTATGAACTTCTGATCCTCTTGTATCAGCTTCCCAAGTGTTGAGATTATAGACCAACTCCTTACTGTCGTATGATGTGTATTTTTTCATCTGACTCCAACTTTTATCTTAATTTATCCATTACCTCTTTCATTTATAATCCTTCTGCTCCAGTTACAATGAATTATCCAGAGGTTCCAGAACATGGTCATTGTACTCCATGATACTTCATGTGTTCTTTCCTTTACCTAGAGTGTACTCCTCCTCTTCTGTTTCTCTAGCTGACTGATGTACTAATTTAAGAACCAGCTCAGATGCTACCTTTTAAAACAAAGTCTTCCAATGTATATTGACAATACTAGACACCAAGGCTAAACGATGAATAAATAGGCTGGGGATGTAGCTTAGTAGAGGAGCTCAGTAGTGCTTAGCATGCAGGAAACCGTGGTTTGATCTCCAGTGCCATATAAACTGGATGTGGTTGTGTAAGCCTATAATTCCAGTACTCTAGAGGTAAAGGCCTGAGGATAAAAAGCTCAGGGACATCTTTGGCTAGACAGTGAGTCTGAGGTAACCCTGGACTGTTCTTAAGAAGCTCACTGCTATCCAGGAAGCATGTGCAACAAGAAACAGACATGAAACAAGTAACAAGACTACCACATGTGTAGACTACTACCCCTACAGCTTCATGTGAACTACTCCTTCTAGTTAACGCCCTTGTGTAGCTTCTCCAGTTGGCTTTAGGGTTAGCCAGGTCACTTGCTTTGGCCCTTGGGACTTTAACTGGTGTAATTCAAGCAGAGGCTTGATAAGGATGTATATACCGGGGCACATCCTCTTGGGACTCTCTTGGAAGCTAGTAATCATGTAAGGATACTCAGATCATTCTGAAGGATGAGACATCATGTAAAGAGAAGGGGTCACATAATAAACTCCCAGTGCGATCTACTTCAATGAGTAACCCCCTCTCCCTGTCACATTAAGTAGAGAATAGCCACCTGGTAAGCCCTCTAAATCATGAGGAGTAAAATATTGTTGTTTTGCCAAGCACAATAGCATATGCCTGTAATCTCAGCACATGGGAGGCAGAGGTTCTCACTATGTAGCACTGGCTGGCACAGAACTCACTATGTAGATCAAGCTGGCCTAGAATTCACAAGATCTGCCTGCCTTTGCTTCCCAAATGCTGGGACTAAAGGCACGTACCACCATGCCGCATGAAACAAAAATCTCTTACAAACAAAATAAAACCCCAAATCTTACCTCTAGTGTCTTGTCCAGTTTGGCAGCTAGCCTTCCAATTTCATATAACAGCTGGTGATTGATGGGAATCTCAGCTATGGGTCTTCCTGGGAGGTAAGTCAGCATCCTCACCAAGTAGCTTTTGATTTCAGATCCACTATCTAGATTGAAGGGATGATATCCTGTTAACTATTCTTGAAAAACAAATAGAAGCTATTCTTTCTTTAGAATGAAAATTTCAGAGTGAAAGAAATAAATGTACAAACCTAAAATTACTCTACAATGTTCTATGAGGCAAGGCTGAATGGACCAAAGCAAGCAGGTGGAAAGACAAACCATTTACCCACCCACTACCATAGCCCCAACTATGCTGGCCTTAACTCTAAGTGTAAGTTTATCTACTACAGTAATGAATGCTGAAAACCCACATTCCCACATAAGTTTACAATGAAGAAAATAAGGCATAAAGAAGTGATACTTCCACAGGCTTCTTCAGGAACAAGTTGAGGTACAACCTGTATCATCAATACAGGACAGTATCTACTCCTCAGGGACCATACTGGGTCTCAGTTGTTTGGAGCAACACAAATTAATAAAGGATGGGTGAACAAGTAAGAAAAAGACAGTGGCGATCTCAAACTTCTAAAAATTCCAAGAAACTGATTTCAAGCTGCTGCTTGCTGAATTAGACAAATCTTAATAGTCAGCATTAAAGGGATAAGGGGTCAGGTTCCCACATATAAGGTCCTGCAGTCTTGGGAATTTAAGTGCTGTGCCCAGTGTCACATACATAGTGATGATAAACTGGGATCTAAAATGCCTGATTTCGGGGCTGGAGAGATGGCTCAGCGGTTAACACTGGCTGCTCCTGCAGAGGACCCAGATTCAATTCCCAGCACTCACATGGCAGCTAACAACCTTCCGTAACTCCAGTTCCAAGGGATCCAACACCCTCTTCTGACCCCTGTGGCCACTGCACGATATAGATGCACTTGTGTGCAGGCAATACATTAATACACATAAATATTTTTAAAAATTAAAAAAATAAAATAAAATGCCTAATTTCTAGTTTCATGTTCTTTCTACTATACTACAACACTAGAATAAATGAATAAAATATATAATTGCAGCTTGGAATGTAACCTAATGGTAGAGGCGATTGACTAGCATATGCAAGGCCTTGGGTTTTATCTCTAGAAACATATACAAAAGAAATAGTATTTTGTTGTTAAATAAACATGAAGCTAACATGGGGTGGCTAACAACTATACATAGATCCAGTTCCAGAGAATCCGATGCCCTCTTCTGACCTCCATGGGCTTGCACAGCATGGGTACACTTATATAAATGCAAGCAATATACATACATATAAAAAATAAAAATAATAATTTTTTTTTAAAAAGTATTTTCCTGATTTTCACAGGTCCTCTTAGTTATTATCAGGGCCTTTTTTTTTTTTTTTTGTCTTTTTGAAGCAGGGTCTCCGTGTAGCCCAGCTGTCCTGGAACTCACTATGTAGACCAGGATGGCCTTGAACTCATAGAGATCTGCCTGCCTCTCCCTCCCAAGTGCTGGGACTATAGGCATGTGCCACCATGCCCGGCTTATCAGGACCTTTTTAAATAGAAAAGTTACACTAGACCCCAGCACAAGTCATTTCTAACCCAGAGACCTGCTCTCTACCATAGCCACACTGTTGATTTCATCTAACCACTGAAATCATATCTCTACTATGTTCTTGACACTGTAGTGCTGCCTGCAGCTAAAATGCAGTGATGTGACTTGATGAGGACAGACTGAAAAGCTGGCCATCTCTTACCAATGGACACCAGAGAGGTCGTGTTGTCCCCTTTAGTCCGGCACACAAAGGCTGTTGGAAACCCAGCTGCTCTCAGAAACATGATGATATGATTCTGCATTTCAATCAGGTCTGGAGTTTTGCTAGACTCTGTGTTGCTTATTTTGAGGACATATTCACTTGGGTCATCTGTAGTGTCTTTGAGTCTTGAAATGTGAACATGAAAGTTTTGATCATCATAGCTGGGAAGTGGCTGGATCTTAGAAACTTTGAACCCAAACACTGATTCTACCAATGCAGAGGCTTGTACCTCAGTGAAAGTAGGTTTGGCAAGAGCCTGTGATTGCTGATTATCTCCACTTGACATTATATCTAGGGGGAAAACAACCAGAAAGGAGTCATATTATAATACTGGTATTTAAATGATTTTTCTCAAGACAGACCAACACATCTCTATAGAGTATATGCTTATTTATTTTTATTTATAAAATTTAAAAAACAGGGCTGGGCTGGGCGTGGTAGTGCACGCCTTTAATCCCAGCACTTGGGAGTCAGAGGCAGGCAGATCTTTGTGAGTTTATTTTGATATATCACAGTGAAAGATTTATCGTCCTCTTTTTTTTTTTTTTTTTTTTTTAAAAAAAAAAAAAAAAAAAAAAAAAAAAAAAACAACAAAAAAAAAACCCAACAACAACAACAAAAAAACCCAAAAAAATCCCACCAGGGCTGCTGGGCATGGTGGCACACACCTTTGATTCCGGAGGCAGAGGCAGAAGGATCTCTGTGAGTTCAAGGCCAGCCTGGTCTTCATAGTGAGTTCCAGGCCACCTGGAGACCTTGTCTCAAAAAGACCAAAAAATAAATAAATAAACAATAAATAAGTAAATAAATAAGTAATAAAAACAGGGCTAGAGAGATGGCTCAGTGGTTAAGAGCACTGGCTGCTTTTGCAGAAGGCTGGGGTTCAGTTCTCAGCACCCACATGATAGCTAACAGCCATCTGTAACTCCATTTCTAGGGGATCCAATGTCATCTTCTAGCTTCTGCAGGCATTGCATATACATGGTGCACCTACACATATGTGAGCAAAACACACACAAAATAAAAATAAATAGATTATAAAAAAATTTAAAAAAACCACAAAATCAATGTCGGGGATAGTGGTGCACATCTTTAATCCCAGGATGTGTATATAAGTGCAGGTGCCCACTGGAGTCCTGAAGAGGGTGTTGGATCCTCTGGAGCTGGAGTTACAGACAGATGTGAGCTACCCATAGGTACTTGGAACCAAACCTGGGTTCTCTGCAAGTGCAGCAAGCACTCAACTGCTGAGTCATTGCTTCTTGAGCTCATTCACTGATTTTTTTTTTTTTGGAGACTGGGTCTCCCTGTAGCCCCAGCTGGTCTGGAACTCATTATGTAGACCAGGCTGGCCTCAATCTCGCATATATCTGCCTGTCTCTGCCTCCTGAGTGCTGTGATTAAAGGTGTGCACCACCATGTCCGGCTAAAAAGAAATCTTTTAAATAAGATAATGTAGGTGTTCTAGCAGGGCATAGTTGTCCATGCCTGTAATCCTAGCACTTGGAAGGCAGAGGCAGGAGGACTATCTCAAGTTCCAGGCCAGCTTGGTCTGTAAGTTCTAGGCCAGCTAGGCTACATAGTGAAGACCCGGGCTCCCAAAACAAAACAAAACAAAACAAAACAAAACAAAAAATAAAACAGAAGTAGATGTTCTTACAAATGAATACAAATTCTGGTACCGAGCTGGGTGTGGTGGCATACGT